GTTAGACTGGGGAATGTACGATGAGGCAGGACTTAGGCGTTCTTTCTCCAAAAGTTATCAACTAGAAATTATTGTCACGGAGATCCAGGTCAGCGTGTCACCACAGAGTACTTGGTGGAACGCTAAGATGCTTTCGAAGCTGTCAGCACTCTGGAGTTCTTTTTGAAGACTATTGTATACGTTAACATCCCCTTGTTTTCTTCTTTGTTTTTTATTATGTGAATTCTCCAGTCCATAATGTGGAAGGCTTTACAAGGCCCGAGAGGATGGCAATAGAGTTCATGGATCCTTCCTCTGAGAGAACAGAAGCATGCACATCTATACATTAAGTCAAAAAGTAACGCAAGTTGTTCGTTATTTTGCTAAATTTTTCATCAAGTTATACGAAATTCAGCTCACAGGTACTTGCACATTTACTTTTGAACTCATTCTGTTAAAATTTAAGTTTCTTTGATTTTTGCCTGAATGACGTCACACCAAAATGGCTGCCCCCTTGGAGGTCTGTCAGAGGCAAAGGACTGTGATGGAATTTCTTGTTTTAGAAGGAGAATCCACCGGTAGCATCCAAAAGAGACTTCGAAATATTTACAGGGACCAAGCTTTGAGCAATGGACCGGAAGAAGAGGAAGAGGTGCCCATATACTTGTAAGACAAGCATCGTCCCGAAGAATCAGCTGAAGAAAATCATGGCAGCCTTTTTTTTGGACGTTCGTAGAGTGCCTCTTATAGATTTATTTTTTTACCACGAGGAACAACTGTCAATTCTGAAGCCTACTTTGGAACACCGAAACGACTGAAAGCGAGAATTCAACGAGTCCGACCAAATTTGAAAAAGGAAAGAGTGGGGTTTTTTTTCACCATGACAATGCCCGCCTGCATACGAGTACCAGAACGAGGGAGACAATCACCCCGTTTGGGTGGAAAACACTGCCACGCCCAGCTGATTCTTTGATTTGGCACCTTTAGACTTCCACGTTTTCGGTCCTCAAAAAATATCACAGAGAGGTCAACACTATGGAAACGATGGACAAATCAAGACTGCGGTACCCCAAAGACCAACCTGCTCAGTTTTACGAAGCTGCCTTGTTGACTTAATAAAAGGTGGACAGTGGCTATTGAACAATGGAGACTATAATGTGATACAGAAATCTGCTCCTCAGATGTTCCCCTTCAATTTGAGGTATGATAGTTGCCAGTGCGTTCTTTTTCTTTAAGTTATAAACGACCTAGCATTACTTTTTGACATTGTATTAAGTATATTAACACGAGCATACACACACACACACACACACACATACACACACACACACACACACACACACACACACACACACACACACACACACACACACACACACACACGCATATATATATATATAAGATATAAAATGCCAAAGCTTCCACAGTCATAGATCTAAACAAGCTATATATATATATTATTGCCTTCTCCATGTGGACCTTCTAATTATCTTGAGATTAATCTTAAGTCTGGTTAGAAGTCCCAATTGGCTATTTGGGTAAAAATAAGGTTGTTTGGAGAG